GTTGCCCTGTACGATGACCTGTGCAGGGCAACCAAGGCAGATTCAGTGCCATACCCGGGTCTGAAGCCGGACTGAAATGGGTCCAGATAATCAGTTTCATCCAAGAGTGCTTGGAGTTGTCCCGCCACCACCTGCTCTAGCACCTTGCCCAGGAACGGGATGTTGGCCACCAGTCTATAATTGGCAGCCACCTCTGAATCCAGGGATGCCTTCTTTAGGACTGGCCGGACTACCGCCTCCTGTAACCTATTGGAAAGTGTTAACTGGGTCATGTGTAACTCTTGATCAATGTGTAAAAGGGCCAACTGAGGACTGCTCAGGTGTGCCATCTGGTAGCTGGTTATTCTTGAAAATAAATCCTTTAAAACAAAATCTTCCCTTGTTGTGTATTTTGGCCATATGTACACCAGTACATGGCTCAGACACTCTGGCTTAAACATTACTTTTTCCTTGCACACACACACACAATTTGCCTTCTTTAGCATCTATCAAAGAATACAGGAGAACACAAAAACTTACATGCTATTTTGTGCCATGTTAGTTGCCCTAATGTGGATTTTTCTTACAGGCCAGGATAGTGAGGTTTTGCTTTTTGTTAAGGACATACTCACACAGGAAGCTTTTACAGATAAAATTAATAACCTACACTTTGAGTTGGTTTCATTTATATCCTGCATTTCCTCCAAGGAACTCAAAGCAATTTACTTGGTTTCCCTCCCTTAAATTTTATCCTCACAACAATCCTGTGAGATAGATTGCATTTAATGACTGGGCCAAGTCACCCAAGTAAACTTTATGGCTGACTGAGGTTTTGAATCTTGAATTTTGGGCCCCCTCAATCCTAGCCCAAATGGTTGAATGCATTGATTAAAAGAGAGTGGAGGAGTGGAAAAACATTTGCCTTCTGTGAAGCAGATCTATGTTAGAACCAAAAGTTGCAGGTTCAAATTGTTCGTGTTCTGGCTCAAACCCCACAACTGCCTTGTACTCAATCTTTTGGACAATTCACTTGTCCTTTGTGATTAGCCATACCACCCATGGCATCCATTTTGTAGCAGCACTCAGGATAGTTTCTTAAATAGCCAAATGTGGCCACAGGCCCAAAAAGGTTTGTTGTTGATATATTTTATTTTAATTTTCATTATAATATATAAAATAAATCATTATGTATATTATATATAAAACAATAATATATTATAAAATATACATTTAATGTTAACAGTGACTCTGCCAGGACTCTTTTAAAAAGCCCTCAAACACAAGAATGTATTTTTCTAATAAATTTATATCGTTACGTGCCATCAAGTCATCTCTGACTTTGCATTATAACCCCTTACTGTTTGTGCTACACTTTGTCTCAGCATTAGAGACCCTCTGATTCTTCTGAGCTTGTCATTTTCAAAACAAAAGACTCTGGTTTCCTTGGAGTGACAATGTCCCATTCTAGTCCGCTGTACTTCATTCACAGCACATAATGCAATGCTTAACTGTCACATTTCTTGCTTTATGGTTTCTAGCTTGCCTTGAGTCATGCTTCTTACTTTCCATGTTCTAATTGTATATGTTGTGCAGCACTGGACTTTCTTTTTGCCTCTTTTTGCATATCAGTCACTACACTTCCTTTCAGCTTTGATTTAGTTGCATCATTAGGAATACGACTATTCATACTTGTCCTTTATTCTTCCCCAATAGCACGTCGAATGCCTTCTGACCTGCAAGTCTCATCTTCTGGTACTATCTCATTTCCTTTTGGATGGTTTCATCATAGTGTTTTCAAGGTAAGAAGTATTCAGGAGTGGTTTACCATGGCCTTTTCCTGTGCAGTAGTAACCTGAATTATCTAGAGTGCTGCTGTCCCTGTCTGTGAAAGATTCTGTAGCTGCCGTTCAGGAATTTCTCCACCCCATATGTAACAGAGATAGCCCTTCTCTTCTGTTTCTGTGACTGTTACTCCTGAAGAGGGTGGAACCATCATAGTCTGGTGTCTCAACTTTGACCATTCAGCCTTGGGTGACCCTGCTAGATGACCAGCCTAATTAGGGAGTCTGGCGGCATTGCTCTTGACTTCTTTGACCCTCTCAAACCTCCTCACCATGTTAAAGCATGCATCAAGGGGCCAAAAGGCTTCTCTGCCCCTAATATTGAGTTTAGCACTTTGAACAATCAAGTTTACTAATGACAATGCAACCTTTCTGGAATAGATCAATCATACTGAATAGACACCTTTACTCTGGGCAAGCTTATCATAGAACAATTTATATGATGGAGCTAGAGATGAAATCAAGACAAAGTAAATCCTACATCTCTCAGCATACTGCAGCCAACACAGGGTAATTCCCACTTTTTCCTATATAAACACGCATAGAATTGTGACCTAATACTATTGCCAATGGAAGCAGCCACATCTACTCCCATAGCATTCCTTTCATTTCCATTTGATCTGCAATAGTTAGCACACGAGAATGCTTTGTCTCATGCCATGGCAAGGATTCATCCTGTGTAAAGGGAGAAAGGCTAAGCTGCCCGTTCCCA